TTCAAGATGAAAGTCTTGGTGAAAGCCTGTGAGCTCCCGTAGCGGCGGGGGCTGGACTGTAAAGGGCAGCAGGGGAAAGCCGGGCTTCCAGGCTCCGGGTTTTCTTAGAATGCCCAGTGATACACAAGGAGTTCCTCTATGGGCACAGGAGACAGCAATGCCAGACACTGATTGTAAAGTGCAGGTCTTGGGTAATCACCTAAGGTTTAAAAAGCTGGTGTAAAGATGTGTTTTCTGCCTAAAAGTGCATACAAGCTCCCATCTAGACCTTAGTGGTGCCAATTAAATTGGCGATCCCAGAAAGAACTGCTGTGGAGTCACGCTATGGCGGGGTTCCCACGTAAAGCCGAAACCTCGGGAAGACGTGACTTGGTATTTGGGTTGGACGTTGACTTATTCGCTGCTCTTTTTTAAAAAAATGACCATTCTTTCTTTGATAAATCACAACATTATTTCAGAACATATGATGTGGGTTTTAGGAAGAACAGAATGGCAACGTGGCTCATGCCTCTCGTCTTAAAATAATCAAAGAAGGAAATTCACTCTGAAAGCCAAACTGAAGAGCCTGCAAGTGTTGCAAGAAGTTTACTTGGATACTTGATTCCTTTGCCATTTTTAAAAAAGAAGCTTTATAACCTTATTATCTTTTTTTAAAAAAATATGTTTTATTGATTTTTTACAGAGAGGAAGGGAGAGGGATAGAGAGTTAGAAACATGGATCAGCTGCCCTCTGTACACCCCCTAATGGAGATGTGCCTGCAACCAATGTACATGCCCCCGACCGGAATCGAACCTGGGACCTTTCAGTCCGCAGGCCAACGCTCTATCCACTGAGCCAAACTGGTTAGGGTGTAACCTTATTATCTTAACTGTCTGATATCTTCAGTGTCTTAACAGTTAAGATACATTTAATCTTATATGTTAAAAAAGTTACATATATACCTGCTACAGTGAACTTTATATTTATGATTAATTATGCATCAATGTTTTCTTTCTTCACTGGGTATGTGGCTTTAGTAATTGTACCTGTGTCGATGTCATACTTATTAAACGTGTCTGTATTGTTTGCTCTATTGCACTTTTCCCCCAGATAAAGTTATCTTGGCCGAACTATGTAAATACCGCCCCCCCCCCCCCCCCCCCACACACACACACTGCTTCTTCTGCACTGATGGCTGTTCTCTCAGTTCATTGTTTAGAGGTTCTGTGACACGGCCAGCACAAATTGCCAGGCATTTTCTGTTGTAAGTGCCGGTCCCTGTGGCCTCCCAACAGGGATGCGAGAAAGGGTCATTATTATTATTACCCTGGAGGAAGGGGGCACACACAGAGGGGAATGTGCTGGCTTAGCCACACAGCTGGTAAGTGGCACAGCTGAGAGGGAAACTCAGGCCACCTGGCTGCAGAGAATGTCAAGGTCAAGAGTGTGGATTTTGGAGTTCAGCCACTCACCTAACTTGTGACCTTGGGCAAATTACTTGACTCCCTGAGCCTCAGTTTCCTCATCTGTAAAATGGGGATCCATCCCGCCTCACGGGGTCTACCAGACTGGCACAGGCTCCTCTGTGTGAGACCATCACAGAGCAGGCACTCGTAAACACGCTTTCTCTTGTTCACTTCTGGGTTCTTCATCCATCATTATTGTAAGCTGACCAGGGCTCCCAAACCCCCATTCTCTGCTCGGTTGGTCGCTGCCTGCTGATAGGAGCTGTTGGGGTGTGGTCTATCCCGGCACTGGGAGCAGGGAAACTGGGGGGTGTGGGAGTCTGACTGTGTTCCGGGCATCGTGCTGGGCTCCTCTGCTGAATGTCGCAGCACCGTGGGCCTTTCTGGCCTTTGGACGGGGGGCTCTGCTGGGGGAGGCGGCTGGAAACGGAGGCTTTATCTGTGCCATCTGTCAGCATGGGGGCGGGGACTGGCCTGTGGAATGCTGACCTGATATTCCTCAGGACCACGCTAACTCCGTAATCGGGAATGTCTGAGGGCGAGTTTCCAGGGGTGGCCAGAGTGGTGGGGTGGGGCACCTGAGCGGTCACAGTGCAGGGAGCCACAGGAAGGCAAGTTCAGGGAGCAGGAAGGGCCAGTGTCGAATGCTGCTCATGGAGGTCCGGCAAGAGGATGACCGTGGGCATCCTTCCCATTTAGCTAAGGGATGGTCTTTGACTTCGGAGTGGGCGCCTGGGGCACTGTGAGGTGCGTTCCCTGGGAGCTCCCTCACAGGGGCCCAGGGTGGGGGCTGTGTGGATGCACCTGACTGCTTACTGAGGGCACAGGATTCACTCCAGGGGGTGTGGCCTCACCCCCCTTCTTCCCAGCCCCTGCAGAAAAGCACTGAGGAGGCCCCCAGTGTCCCCAGCCTCTGCCCATGACTTCCTAGCCAGGCTGCTGCTCCTCGGGCACCCTTAGGCACTCTCAGGTACAGCCCTCCGGGAGAACAGCGTGCCAGTGACCAAGCTGAACACACACAGTCCACTTCCTGTGTGCCCACCCAGACTCGTCCAAATGCAGGTGCCCGAGGGCTCCTAGCAGCACTGCTCTCCGAGCCCGGATTGCAGATCCCCAGGCGCCTGTGAATGGTAGAAGGGACATGGCCATGGGGCAGTCAGGCTGTGGGCTGGTCACAGCAGTGAGGGTGCGTGAGCGTCCACAGAGATGAGGATGCATCACAGTAACCCTGGGGAGGGGAGGAGCCAGGCGCAGGAGAAGGTACCGTGTTACCCCTGTGGCTGGAGAGGGGCCGAGGAGGGGCGCTAGTCACGGCTGTTTCTTGATCTGGGAGAAGCTTCCCTGGGTGGGTTCACATCTGGCCGGCGTACAGACCGTGCGCTGTGATACGATGAAAAGGTTCTGACACCAGCAGAGCAGCTCCCTTCCCAGCTGTCAGCACTGCCACGGGGATGCGCGGCCACGGCCTCCGGTGGGGGTGCACCTGGCTTTGAGTCCCGGCTCTGACTCTGCACAGGCAACTCAACGCCTTGTGGGCGTCAGGTGCATCCCCTACCCACGTGCAGGGGTGCATGAGCTTGAGGGGTGGCAGACGACTGGCCCAGGGCATTCCACAGCGACAGAGTGGAGGCTGCTTGCCATGCCCCTCCCCCCATCCCCACGTCCTGGTCCCCTCCTAGCTTCCTGGAAGCTGCCACAAAAGACCCCTCCCTCCCTCTCCGCCTTCATAGATCAGAGTCCCCATGGCCATGGCTATATATATACACATCCCCCCCCCCCCCCCCCCCCCGGATTTCAGAGAGGAAGGAAGAAGGAGAGAGAGATGGAAACATCAATGATGAGAGACTTATTGATCGGCTGCCTTCTGCACACCCCCTACTGGGGATCAGGCCCACAACCCAGGCATGTGCCCTGACTGGGAATCGAACCGTGACCTCCTGGTTCATAGGTCCATGCTCAACCACTGAGCCACGCTGGCTGGGCTCTGTGACCATGTTTTGCCATCAGTTTCAGCCTTGCGTTTTTCTTGGACCGGGTAGAAGAGAGGTGCTCCTGTGAGTGTGAAGGGGCGGGTGGGGGCGGGGGGTGGCTAAGGACAGCTGCCATCGGTTCTGGAGAGCCCTTCCCTCTGGCCAGCTCTCCCATGGAGCCTGGGGTCCAGACGCGGGGCCACTCTGTGCCCGGCCGGAATCCCCTGCCTCGAGATGTCACCTGCCCCCTCAGCCCAGGAGGGAGCAGCCCGAGAGGTGGCTCATTCCCCAGTGCCCCTGCCCTCACCCCAGTGTCTTCTCAATGGAGCCCTGGGGCTGCTGGTGCGGGTGCCTCCTTCATCAAGCATCCCGGCAGCTCTCGGGCCCACTGAGCTGCAGCATGCTGGTCCTGCTTCTCCTCTCTGCCACGCTGTTCCCCGCCCCTACGGGAGGTGCAGTGGGGACTGTCCCCAGGAGATGACAGATGCTGCAAACCCTCCAGAGCCTGGCCTGTGGTCGTTCTGCATCTTCCCGAACTTGTTACTCCCAGCTCCATCCCTGCTCCACTTGGGCCCAGAGGATGCAGGGCCCCCTGGAACCTCGGTGCACCCCCAGGACCAGCCCTTGGGCTTATACCATCTCGGTGTTTATCCCCTGCGAAGGGGGCATGCTCTCCTGGTCTGGTCTCACTGCCCGTGTCAGGGAGAAGCGCTGTGGTCCTTCACTTTATTTTGTCCTGAAGTCATTTTCCAAAGCCCCTGGTCATGCCATCCCTTAGAAGTCTAAGTCTGTGGTTGTAAACCTGGCTGCTGTGAAAAACGTCTGGGTGCTTTACAAAGTACCGGGCTCTGAACCCGCCCCCAGCGACACCCTGCTGTTGGTTCAGAGGGGAGAGAGCAGCGGCTGCTGGAGCCAGTGTGCCATCTCCCCGCCCCACTGGGGAAGCTGAGATCTGCGAGATGGAAATTGGCCAGCACTACAGACGGGGTCCCAGAGAGCCTGTTAGAAAACGTTTACCAGCCCAGCCGCGGGCCAGGGCACCCCTGTTTTTTCAAAGCTCCCACAGTGGTTCTCACGTGCAGCCAGGCTGAGCACCAGGTGCTGAGGGACCCGGAGAGGCACAGTGAGTTCGATGTTGACTAATAACAGCTCGCAGTCGTCTGGCCCTACCAGATGCTAAGCTACTTAGTGAATTAGATCACTTACCTCCGACAACAACAAAAGAAGGAGGATTATTCTCCCCATTTTTTTAGATGGAGAAACTGAAGGTACTTGGTACTTCGTCCAGGCCATTCAGCTAGTTAGTAGCTGAGCTTGGATGCACACCCAGACCTGCTCTCCGGGAACCTGAGCCTCAGGGCTGCTAGGACCGCTGTGGTCACTGCCACCTCTCCCCGGCAGGTGGATGCAGAGTCACTGCCCTTGCTTCCCAAGGGGACTTCAGCCCGCAGCAGGTGGCGTGGGCTGAGCCGACACCACCGGGGTCGCTCGCAATGGGCTTAGCCAGATGCTGGCCGCTGAGCCAGGAGCGTGCGGCCACTTACTAACGAGCTGCTGGTCCCGTGTGTGTTATTCCCTTCCCAGTGGAACACGACAAGGAGTTTTTCCACCCGCGCTACCACCATCGAGAGTTCCGGTTTGATCTCTCCAAGATCCCGGAAGGGGAAGCCGTGACTGCAGCCGAGTTCCGGATCTACAAGGACTACATCCGGGAGCGCTTCGACAACCAGACATTTCGGATCAGCGTTTACCAGGTGCTGCAGGAGCACTTGGGCAGGTGGGTGCTGCCTGACGCCGGGAGGGACGCGAGCTTCCTCCACCTGCAGAGGAAGTGGTGGCGGCCAGAGGGCGGGGCCAGGTCCGCAGGGTCAGTCCTGGCTGCTTCCACCATGTGCAGCGCCTGGGCTGGGTCTGTTTTTTAAAGAGGGTGTATGTTGTTTTGTTTTAATGTCACTGTTTCTTAAAACTATCACCATCCGAGAATCCTGTTAGGAACAGGGGATGGCCAGTGAGCCTGAGGTTGTGTGACCCCAAGTGGGTATTTAGGGGTGGTCTGGGTCTGGCCTGTGTTTAGGGGCCTGGAAGGTGGGGGATGGAGAAGAGGAAGAAACGTTTTTGAAGGTCTACCTCTCTCCCATTTGTCACTCTGAAACGCAGCACATGAGGTCAGGTGACCAACCAAAGTGGCCATTTGTAATCATCTTAGGGGACAGACACCCCCAAACCCCAAATAAACAGGCAGAGAACTCTCAGCCTTCCAATGTTCAGGAGGCTAGGGGCCGAACACTGGTGTTGAAAGACTTTAATTTCTTGAGACCCTTTAGTTTCCAGCTCTTCTGGGAGGTAAGACGGCTGAGAGAACGGGCTGGGATGTCTGGAAAGTCCACTCTGCCGCCCCGAGGTGCCGAGCCAGGGTTGCAGACTACCCGCTGGCTGGGTTTCTGGGTGTCTCAGGTCTCAGACTTTTACCCGCCTCCCCGCATACTGTTCCTTGGTAATCAGTGGAAGGAAGGTGGGTGATCAGCTCCTTCGATGGGCAGCCTAGCATCTTCAGTTGGAATGGGGACTGTTATCACATCAGGGACTTAGGGACCATTACCACCTCGTTTGCTAAGCATCTCCCTTTTGGAGGTAGTCTTCTGAGAAAACCAAACTGATGCTTCTGATGTCTTGCACTCGTTACCTCATTTCATACGCACACCAGCCCCCTAAGGGAGCCCCCACACAGGGACCCTGATGGGTTTTAATTGCTGCCATGGAGGCTCTATCAGTTTATATTCCCAGAAGCCACATAGGAAAGGCCTGTTTCCCCCTATACTCACCAACATGGTCTCTTATTAAACTGTTTGATCTTTGTCGGTCTGATGGACCAATGGTATCTCAGTGTGGATTAAATTTGCATTTAGAGCCCCCGTTCAAATGCAGTGCCCTAAGGTTCAGGGCATGGGCGTGGTGCAGCGGAGGCGGCAGACAGCCTTGGCAGTCACCCCCGAGTCTCCCTAAAGTACCCAGGTGCCCCTGTGCCCCCTGGTCGGCCGTGCCCTGGCTCCAGGCCCAGGCACGAGAAGCAGCACTGAGTTCCTTCTCGGGGAGGCGTGTGTTTGCTGTTCTCTGACGGATCTCCCAGGGCTCTTGAACAAGAACACGCTTGACTTTTCTCATGAAGACACACTCACTGGGGTGAGGTAGGTGCCGAGAGGCTGTTTGTCAGTAGCACTCCATTAGCCCACTTGTGCAAAGGCTGCCGGCAGCTGCTCATCCTTCTGCCTGTGTCAACCTGCGGGCACTGCGGTCCCATCATGGTGTGAGGTGGCGGCCTCCTCGACCCGGCCTTAGACCCACGGGGTGGGAGGAAGGCCCCGGGGAGAGGAGAGGGCCTGACTCGCTGTGGTTGGAAGAGGGACGGGCGGGGCAGCTGTCCGAGGCTCCCTGGCAGCCAGCCAGGGCAGGTGTTCCAGGTTGCCCACCACAAGCAGCGTGGCCACAGGTGATCTCTGGGGATGCCCAGCCTGGCTTTGGGCTCCTGCCTCTGAGAGCTGTGGCTTGCTGGGAGGCCAAGTCCCTTGCCGGCGAAGGTTTGCGCACCGGCTTTGTGCCGCATGCAGGCCGAAGTCAGCAGACCCCAGTCTCTGCTCTCCGGGAGCTCACAGTGGAGCAGAGGAAGTGACATGACAGGGGCAGAGTATGAAGGAGGGCAGGTGGGGGAGTGAGGCGGTGGGAGGGGAGGAGGGGCTGCTCTCTGTAGATTTCTAACTTTCCTTTCTGCACCGGAAAGAAGGAATCTAGTCTCTCATTCTCCAGAAGTTAATGCGGAAGCAAAACAATCCTATTATGTGATTCCACAGGTGGGATGACCAGCTATGAAGAGTGTGGATTTGAACCCCAACACTATATACCCATGTGGTCTTGGGAGTCTTACCTCTGGGAGCTTGTTTCCTCCTCGAGACAATGGGACTCATGATAGCATTTACCTCTCAGAGTTGTGAGGATAAAGGAGGTTAAAATGCTTACTTATAACATAGTAAATGCTCAATAAAGTTTTATTAATATTAGTATCATCACCATCATCATCACCACCATCACCATCCTCATCATCCCTATCACCATCATCCTCACCATCACCATCACCATCACCATCACCATCACTATCACCACCATCACCATCCTCACCATCACCATCCTCACCATCACCATCCTCACCATCACCATCCTCACCATCACCATCACCACCATCACCATCACCACTATCACCATCCTCACCATCACTATCACCACCATCATCATCACCACCATCACCATCCTCATCATCCCTATCACCATCATCCTCACCATCACCATCACCATCACCATCACCATCACCATCACCATCACCATCACTATCACCACCATCACCATCACCATCCTCACCATCACCATCCTCACCATCACCATCCTCACCATCACCATCCTCACCATCACTATCACCACCATCACCATCACCACTATCACCATCCTCACCATCACTATCACCACCATCATCATCCTCACCATCATCATCCTCACCATCACCATCCTCACCATCACTATCGCCACCATCACCATCCTCCCCCCCGCTGCCCCCCCACACACACACCATCATCGGGGAGAATGCAGAGCCTTCTTAGGAAGATGCCGAGCTCCAGGTGTGGCTTTCCCTCTGCTGAATCTCTGGGTGTTCAGTCTTCATGGGGATACAAGCCTGAGCTGGTGTGGGGATGGGGCCCCGGTTGGCATTTCCTCAATCTGGGGCAGGCATTTTCTTTAGGATGAAGGCCTATGGCTGACTTGATTCCCTGAGAGGATCCTACCTGGCCGCCCTGCTGTGTGGCCAGCCTGCTCCTTCAAGGAGCCGTGGCCTCCCTGCTGCCGGCCGCCCAGCTGTGCGGAGCCGGGACATCTGGCTCGCTGGCCAGCTTTGGCCTGAGCTCCAGGACAGCCCGGGGTGCCGGAGATGAGCCGGCTTGGGTCGGCCTTGGCGTTCCTCCCCTTGTGACAGCCACTTTCCACCGAGGCCTCTTGATCGCGCAGAATCCAGATTAAGTTCCGAGCCTGAGCCAAGCTGGAGGCCTTCCCCGGGCCTCGGGCCTGCTTGCAGCGTGGCCCCGGCAGCTGGAAAGGCACGCTGGACCGCCCCTGGCAGGCTGTTGGCCGAGTGGGGCTGAGCGGCAGGGCTGGGTCAGTGGCCTTGGCCGCACTTGCTGGGAGCAATGGGGGCCAGGGCGTCTGAGTCTTGCCCTCCTTTTCTGGACTCCCAAGCCCAGGGCCTGACCCGTTGGAGCCCGGTTGGCTCAGAGTCCAGTTCCAGCTAAAGGTGAGGGTGTTTGGGGTGGGGGTTGCACTAGTTCAAACTAGTTTACAACAGGTTTCATTCATGGAAACTAAACTGAGCATTTCCCCCCCCCCCCCCCCCCAGGCCCCAGGCTTACTCCTTGAAGTGCAGCTCTGTCTGTAGGGGATGTGGGCACTGTGTGTGAGACCTGGGGGGGGGGGGGGGAAGGAGGGGGCGCAGGCCGGTCAGGGCAACACAACCGTTCAAAGGGCACTGCCTGGGTCTTTATGATGTTGGCAGCTGGATGAAAATGTCCCTTGGTCCGTCTCAGGGACTTTGGCTACCAGGAGGGTGACCTCAGCCTGGTCTCCAGGGCCAAGCCTGAGTACTCGGAGGAAGAGGGAGCTGTCCCTGCAGTGGGCTGGAGAGGGCGGTTTGCCAGCTCCCTTCAGCCGAGGCAGCCTCCAATGAGGAGGGAGGAGGCAAGCCCTGTGCCCCCCAGCATCCTCCCCAGGGCGCCCTAGCTCTCGGCTCCCCACAAGGAGGAGGTGCCACCGTGTCCCCGGCAGTGCCCCCACCTGTCCAGGCACTCATGCACTTGCCTCGGGTCTCAGCTTTTCCTCTGAGAAGGACGTGGCCCCCCGACCCGGCCCAGTGGCATCCTTGCCCCTTAGCAGCTCAGCTCAGCTGCACAGCTCCCCGGGACCAGGTGAGGATGCAGTTCAGGGTCAGCTGGCTGGGGTGCCCCTGAGCCCCGGCATTTCTGACCTCCCCCAGGGATGTCCTTATGGTGAAGTCCAAGGAGAAGTTGTGTGAGTGCTGGTGAGCATTGCAGTCCCGCACCCCAGGGTGGCTCCAGGGCGGCAGTCCTCAGGTCCTCCTGGTTTCATCGGGCTGGGAAGGGTGAAGGGCTTGGTAACAAGACTGACTTTTTCTGACTTCAGTCGCCATGAGCCCCTCTGGGCAGGGGGACACGGTCACCCTCCAGAGCACATCCCATGCCTGCTCCAGTTTTATCATCATTTGTCGTGATGGACGCTCACCGTGGTGTGTACCTTGTACGTGATCCTACAGAGACTTGTCTTCCCCACTCGCAGGTGTAGAGACTGCTCGGAGAGGGACGTAACTCACCTGAGGTCGGGCGGCGAGGAAGTGGCAGAGTTGGACTGGACCTCGGGTCTCAGATTCTGGGCTCCCAGTCTTGGCTGAGACAGCGACATGGTGCTTCCTGCTTGTTCTGATGTCCTCGCCTGGGGCTCGGGCAGGGCGCGTGCATCCAAGCTGTGGGCTCAGCCTTGGCCACACACGAGACTCTTGTGGGCTTTTACGGCCCGGACTTGCTGAGGCTGGCGAGGGGCTGGGCACCGGTGATTTCCTGTGTGGCCAGGGCTGTGGGCAGGTGGCTAAGAGCCCTCCTCTCTCCTCTGGGAGCCATCCATGCCCGCGAGACGGAAGCAGAGAGACTCCTGATACAGCCTCTCGGTGGCCTC